ACCACACGTTTGTAATCTTCGCAAAACGTCCCAGCAGTACGTAGTACGGTATACAGAAATTAAGATATCCGGTCGCAGTAGTCTGCGCATCCCACCATTCCGCAGAATCATTTCTGTCGGATGACACTGTTATATAGTTTTTGAGCGTGCTAGGTATGCCCATGTTTCTGTTACGGTCAATCTCCACACCATTGAATTTATATCAAATTTCATCAAATATAAACGCAATGCAATTATTTCTCAATGCCACGTGAGCACCCTGAATCACTTTGTCCTTTGTCAGTTTTCTCTCGACGTATAGAAAGCTTTCGTACGGCAATGTGTGCAGATCCTGTTGCTATATGGGTATTTTTATCTCGTCTGTACCCGAACGTTGTGTTAGCGAACGGGTTATACGTGTGAGTCTCAATCTTGATGCGATCGTCGAAGATCGGCTCGTCTTTAATGTTTAGGATATTAGTCATCTCAAATATTGCGCACCGTGAATCCTAAAGACTTTAAAAATGTAACATTCGACGCGCTGAGCTTCTTCTTCTTCCTGATGTAGCTGAATGAGCGAGTGTTATCGAGCTGTGACGTCGTCGGCCTTGTAAAAAAATACGTTATCTCTCTGCGTGCGCTCCGTTCCATTTAGCATGAGCATCTCACGCTCACGTTATCACTGTTTACGTCGTACGTGCAATCTAACGGTGATCTCTTTTTCTCGAAAATCGAGCAATCGTCCGTTCTGGTCGACGACTCGTATTGTTAGATCTGTAATGCTCCGTGCAATGATCGGTAAGTAAATGATCTGCGCTGGCCTCGCCGATATTTTATATCCTGGCACGCTCGGTGAAAATTCGTGTATCGCGCTTTTGCCGTTGCTGTACGTGCCCGCGGTCACGTTACACTCTACGCGGATAACGTTTACGTTCATTATGTTGATCGACACGTCCGATTCGTGCCATCTTCGTCGCCGCAGTATACGCTTCGACGAGAATCCCAACAGCGATCCAATGCTGTTGAGCTTGTCAAAGTTTATTCTGTATGCACATCTAATCTCGCATCTCATCGTGTTGTAGTTTACGCGATGCGTAATCGGGTATTCTCCACCATCACTATCGGTGTCATTGTTATTGTCACTACACACTACGTCAACGGTGTCAGGCGCGTCGCGGCGTGGACGTTTTTGTAAAATCGCGCGTTTCAAAAATTCATTTATGTCTTTATGCACTTCATACGAACCCCCGGGAATTGTAATTTCAGCGTCGTCCGTTCCACGGCTGATTGTAGTGTTCGTTGCAGCGACGATAGGTTCCAACCTCTGAATCTGCCTTCCGTGTTCCGGAAACTTATCTCAGACATGTTTGATGTAATCGCCGTACACGAGTAAAAGTAAGATCTTCGGTATATATTGCAATTACTCGGCGCTTAAGTCTCCAATATCGGAAGGATGACACAGCGCGAGATACATTTTACTACTGCACGATTCGCGGGTTCGCGCATCTTTAAATAGTCGTTCGAGAGTGCACAGCATTTAATGCTAGCATGAAATTCTTGCTGCAACCGCTGACGATGCACACGAACTGCGACGAAAAATCGCGAATGATGGGGGGCAGCGCGGAGAAGCGCAAGCACGGCGAAATGCTGTCGAGTATTATGTGTGCGATCACTTGCGGCCCATCGAATTGCGGTAAAACCAACGTTTTCATAAGCTTACTTGAGAGCCCGAACGGCGTTTCGAGAACGTATACGTCTATTCGAAATCGTTGCAACAGCCAAAGTATCGATATCTCGAAAATTTGTTTAGGTCTATCGATGAAATCAGCTACTTTACGTTCTCCAACAATAGCGACGTCGTTCTACCGAACGAGGCACGCTCGAATTCTATTTTTATCATTGATGGCGTGACATGCAACAAGCAGAATGCAGTGAGAGAATACTTCTCGATAGGTCGCCACGCGAACGTCAACTGCTTCTATCTCTGTCAGACGTATTCGAGGATACCTAAACATCTGATACGCGACAACGCAAATCTTCTGATCCTGTTCAAACAGGACGGTTACCAACTTGAAAGACATTTACAACGATCATGTGAATACCGACATGTCGTACAACGAATTTTGCGTTGTGCCGCGACTGTTAGCAACAACAATATGAATTCGTAATAATAGACAAAGATAGTGCGCTCACAAATGGACGATACAGAAAAGAATTTAACGAGTTCACGATACCGTAACAAGATCAGTCGTTGTCGATACTTAATCAGAGACGAACATGGCAGATGTGCGCGAGCACATAAAAAAAATCACGAGGGAGATCGAGAAAACAAGCGAGTCAATCCACAAGAAACATCGCGCTCTGAAGACCAGTAAAATCGAAGAGAGTATCGCGTTGGACAAACATTTTAAACCTCTTATCGAGCCGCGTTTTTCATCGACAGCCCCGACAAAGAGAGCGCAACAAAGATGCAGCGTTTACGTGAGAGAAAGGAGAAAGAAGAATAAGAGGAAGGAGAAGAAACAAGCGAGAGCGTTCCACTATTCTGCATAAATCCAATGATCAACCGCACGATTGTGTACAATCAATAACCTTCACCGCGTGCCAATCGTAGCGACAATAGAGTCGTTGGAAAACGTTTTTAAAACGACGGAAGACTCGCTAGCGACAAAAGTTCAAAATCAGTTGCAAACGTCGAAAAGTCGAGAGACATTACGAGCCGGCTTGAGCCCGCTAGGTCAAAAGTACGTCGAGGCTGTCCTGAGAGGAGCGCAAAATAAAGAGAGCGGTATAGATCACGTGTACAGCGTTTACCTACACAAGGATGGGCTGATGTTTGACAATAAACGTTTCGACGTAAATGATGTGGACAACATAATTATCGACGGCATACGATACGCCGGTACATCCGGTCTTTACGGGTTGATCTTCAAGAGAATTCTCGATGATCTTCTCTACACGGAAAACGATATGCACAAGTACAAGAGCACTGTTGGTGACGAACGCGCACAAACACCATTCACAGGATCGATTATTGAGCAGCAGGAGATATAAGTATATGGTAAACATACGAGGTGTGATCAAAAAGTAAGGTGAATTTTGTTATAAAATAAAAAATCTTTATTTATTCATCCAAATCAATTTGATCCCCTTCAAAGTAATCCCTCTCCAATACAATACACTTATACCAACGTTTTTTCCATGCCTCGAAGCATGCCAAAAAGTCGTTTCCTGGTATAGCCTTCAAAGCGCGCAGCGATTCACGTTGAATCTCTTCAATAGATTCAAAGCGGTGTCCCCGGAGCGGTCTTTTGAGTTTAGGAAATAGCCAAAAGTCACACGGAGCTAAGTCAGGTGAATAAGGCGGTTGCGGAACGATATGAGTGGAATTTTTGGCGAAAAACTCACAAAGAATCAATGCCGTGTGAGACGGCGCATTATCGTGAGGCCCAAGTGATCCTTCAAAATTGTTTGAACTGAACCAAATGAAATGCCAACCATATCGACAAGGTCTCTAATTGTCAATCGACGATTTTCGAGCACCAATTCCTTGATTTTCTTCACGTGTTGCTCATCAATTGACGTTGATAGTCGTCCGGGGCGTTCCAAGTCATCAGTACGTTCTCTGCCTTCTTTAAAGTCTTTGTACCACTTATAAACATTTTTCTGCGACATAGTCGATTCTCCGAAGGCCCTCTGCAACATTCTGAACGTTTCCGCACCCGAAATTTCATTCCGCAAACAAAATTTAATGGCACTTCTTTGCTCAGCAAAATCAGACATTGTAAAAATCGCCAAAATCACTTTTAGTCGTTTAGAAAACACAAGCGTAACTATATGACTAATGATGACATTGACATGAAATTTACCACAGATGTCACTAACAGTAGTACCAACATAAAAATAAAAAAGTTTGCTCGAATCAATTAGCGCGGGAAGTTTAAATTAAAAATTCACCTTACTTTTTGATCACACCTCGTATAATCGCGCTATTGATGTCGATCACATCCAAGAAACAGAACAAGAAATCTGGAAAGGGATTACTTCACGCAATTAAATTAAACAACAACGCGATCGATTACGTGCACTGGGATGATTCCAACGAGCTGATGGATTGTCTACGATTGCTCAATGCTTTGCACCGCAGGCAACAACGCTCACGACAACAAGATGCTATCGATCATCGAAGAAGTCCGCGAAGCCGGTCTTATTATAAATTAAATCGCGTCAGTGAGAAAAAGTACTTTTGCCCTGTGTATTACGCATCGAATCACGAAAGAGAGATCCAGCGAAAAGAGAAAAATTAGCTTTAAGAGACGTCGACTCATCGAGGAACTGCACGCTCTGGCGAGAAGAAATTTTCCGCGAAGATGCGTCATACGAGGGTCATTCGAAAAGTCCGTGCAAAGTCACTGCTGATGGCACTACTGGCGCGTATCAAGGTTAGATTTAGTTAGTAGCATCTCTTGGAGGAACATGTTCCTCCAAGAGATGCTACTAACTAAATCTAACCTTGATACGCGCCAGTAGTGCCATCAGCAGTGACTTTGCACGGACTTTTCGAACGACCCTCGTAGTTCGAGGATACGACGATCTGTGGCAGGCTGATATTGTCGAGATGCGCCCGTACTCGAGCTTCGACAGAGACCACCACTATACACTCACCGTCATAGATGTGTTAAACAAGTACGCATGGACCGTACCATTCAAGAGCAAGGGTGGAAGCGAACGGCTAACGCTATCGCTGAGATCATTCGAGAGAGTGGAAGATATCCGAAAAATTTACAAACGGATATGGGAAAGGAGTTTTACAACCAATGTGCAGTAAATCTTGAAAAAACACGATGTTAATCACTATTTCACGTATTCGATGTTGAAAGCGTCAGTGGTCGAACGGTTCAGTCGCACGCTCAAAAACGACATGTGGAAGATGTTTATACTCAACCTGCAATTACAAGTGAATCGACGAGTTACCGCGACTCGTATCAGATTACAACGCGAGCAAGCATTGCACTATCGGCATGCGACTCGCTGACGTAACTTCCGCGATCGCCGTAAAACTCTTGTACAGCGCGATAAAAATCGTTGGTCCGGCAAAATTCAAAATGAGCGATTTGATACACGTGAATAAGTACAAGACGATTTTTGAGAAGGATTATACACCAAATTGGATCACCGAGGTGTTTACGATCGTTAAAGTGCAGCGTACCAATCCCGTAACCTATCTATTCGAGAACTATCACAAAAAATCCGTCGCTGAAGCGTTCTACGAGCGCGAATTGCATCGCGCTCATCCGGACGTGTATCTCGTGGAGAAAGTACTGCGCAAGAAGGACGACAAAATGTACGTCAAGTGAGATTCGGTGGATCGCATAATTCATGGATACACATAACAATGTCATTTGATAAAATTTTTATTCGCGTATTTTTTTTCTACATATAAAAATATATATCAATATATAAACGTATATTTTTATTACTCCCCATTCATCTTCATTTCGGAGTATACAAAATACATAGTTATTTGTGACAACTTATGTATGGAGCAGAATATATACATAGGGTAGTAATACATAATAGTAATATTTATATAAATGTAAAAATCATACGTAAAGTGTAAATCAAAATAATAGTAATACGTATAAATAATAAAAACATGGAATACATAAAGTGTAAGTAAAAATACTAGTAGTATTATATATAATACATATGTAAATATTAAAAACATACAATATGTATAATATGAAAGTACAATAATCGTAATACATAATAAATGCTATTACATGAAACATACTAATAATACTTGTATAAATGTAAAAAAAGTGTAAATTACAATAATAGTAATACGTAATATATTAGGAGTATAAATATGTTTCCGCCGTTTTTTATCAAAAATTTTTATCATTTATTGTGAAAGAACGGTACCTAATGTTTTATTCGAAGTATTGTCCATCGCTAGCCACTACTTTTTCCTATCTTTCTGGCAGCATACGGATACCGCGTCAGAAAAACGCTTCATCTTTTGAAGCTATCCACGAATCGACCCAATTTTTGGTATCTTCATATGATGTGAAGTGTTGCTCAGACAGGCCATGCGCCATCGATCGAAACAGGTAGTAATCAGAAGGAGCAATGTCTGGTGAATACGGCGGGTGGGGTAAAACTTCCCAATTGAGTGTTTCCAAGTAGGTTTTGACCGGCGCCGCAACATGTGGACGAGCATTATCATGCAGAAGAATAACTTTGTCGTGTCTGGAGTAGTAGTGGGCGCGTTTTTCCTTGAGTGCTCGGCTCAATCTCATCAATTGTGTTCGGTAGAGAGCCCCAGTAATGGTTTCGTTCGGTTTGAGCAACTCATAATAAACGACACCTAGCTGATCCCACCAAATACACAACATGAGCTTTTTCCCATGAATGTTCGGCTTGGCTGTCGATGTTGAAGCATGGCCAGGTGGTCCCCATGATTTCTTCTTCTTTGGGTTATCGTAGTGGATCCATTTTTCATCACCAGTGACTACACGGTGCAAAAAAGCCTTTCGTTTACGCCTGGCAAGCAGCATTTCACATGTGAAAAATCGGCGTTCAAAGTTTCTCGACTTCAGTTCATATGAACCCAATTTCCTTGCTTTTGAATCATTCCCAACGATTTTAAGCGATGTGAAATTGCTGGTTGAGTCACTCCTAATGTAAGTGCAAGTGCTTCTTGCGTTTGGCACGAATCTTCATCCAATAATGCTTCCAATTCCGCGTCTTCGTACACTTTCGGCCTTTCGCTACGTTCTTCGACGTCAAATTCACCGTTCTTAAACTTTTGAAACCACTCACGGCAACTTCTCTCACTTAAGGCAGCCTCACCATATGCTTCTACAAGCAATCGATGCGCCTCAGTTGCAGATTTCTTCAAATTAAAGAAGTAAATCAAAAGCTCCCGCAAATGATGCTTATTCGGCATTTTCCTAAAACTCGACATTTTCGCACGAAAAAAGATATAAGATGCTGATGCAAAATCGCTAATATTTCAAGGTTATGTTCTTGCCAGATGTTCAATCTTACGATATGACGTTTTACAGCTGACAATTGTAACTATAACATACTGGTAGCGCCATTGTTTGTCAAACGGCGGAAACTTATACTCCCAATATATAATACACATATTACTGTAACGTCGTCCGATTTTACCCTCTATATTCTACCTTGTTAATGGTTTTATGAACGCCGGCTTGAACCCGCGCATTTTTAATCTCTATAACTACTTTTATGACTATTTTATTATTGCTATTTTATCATTATTGTATTATTTTAATATAAGCATATAATTGCAAATAACACAGACATGCCCAACGACATGCAAATATTTTATTAGTTTTAAATTACTAAGTCTCTTTCATTATATTTTAATTCTGTTAACTATCTTTTATTATTATTCCATTATTCCCCTTTTCATATTGTTAAATATAAAATATAATTAATATTAAGAAAATCCATGTATCACACTGCGCAAACATCAAGTACCATTACGCCTCAAGAGGAGCTATCGATCGATGCTGGAAATAAACAAAGCCGCATATCATGATTATCTATCCAAAATATTGAGTCTAACGAAAGGACCGAGGCATACAAAGAAGACGATCGACAACGCCCTGGCAGTTGCTAACTGACTCCCGTGCTGATCGCACGTTCTTATTCTACCGCGTAATCTAAATTTCATTCGCGTATATTCACCGAGTACATTTCAAGTTTCACTGCGTTTCATCTTTTAACAATATATTCACTGCGTTCACTGAATTTTATTCTAAATATATTCACTGCGTTCACTGAGTTTTATTCTAAATATATTCACTGCGTTCACTGAGTTTTATTCTAAATATATTCACTGCGTCCACTGAGTTCACTGCGTTCATTGAGTTCACTGCGTTCACCGACACTGAACCCTCAGTGTTATATGGTTTCGTCATTTTTTTTTATGAGTGAAAACCATTTCATCTCGATCAGTTGCCTCCGGGCATCCCCTGGTAAAGTCTGTGCAGCAGATTGACCGGAAAACAAAGCGGAGCATTGTAACTTCTAATCCAGGACGTTACATTACAAAGGTATCCGCCGATACCCCCACGATAACGTCTCCGTCGAGTTCGGTACGACGTATCGCTTGTCACCGTATGGACTCAAAGCGATTTTCGATTTAGATATCGTGTACACCTCGTGTAACTTAGACTGTATACACGACTGACGGCGAGTCTCGATCTCTTCATTCAAACACCGCATGTAATCATCGAATGTTAACGTTCGCGCTACTACGTTATTCTTTATATCTTTCGCCTTTTTAGTGTTCTTCTTACCATCCACCCACACTACGTACATCTTTTTCTGAGTCCAATGAATTCGGCCATTATCGCATTGTTGTTCTCGTCCTTCATCAGGCCGGGTACTTTTTTGTTCGCGAATGGCATACCGTACACGTTGTCCGCCGGATAATCACTCTTATCTAATCTAGTGATATCGCGTTTCATAGTATCGTTTCATAGTTTCTTAAGTATCGTCGCATTCTGTATGGTAAATGAGACTGTCCGTGTCGGCGTACATGATCTTACATTTATCGCTATACATTGATAACATGTACTCGTGATGAAAATTGTACAAGCAGACTTTCGATATGTCGAGTATGCACATACCCACGTAAATCGGCTTATTGAACTTCACCTCGAGTTTGCGCATTTCGACGAAGCTCAAATTTTCCGCAAAGACGCTGCGGCTGGAAATTCGGTTTCGCAATCATTGCCTCCGCGCCGTACCATTTTCCGCCCTATTTTGTTATTAATTTTACATCGACGTAATTACACACATTCTCCATGGTCTTGCCAAATACCGCGTTCATTAGTTTAGACACATTTTGTTCGAAATCGTTTTTCGCGCGCGTTCTAAATTGTGTATTGAGTTCAATGTAATCGCGAAGCCATGGAAATTGAGCGAATTGTAATTGACCCGGTGGATCTTTGTTATGTGAAGACCGTGACGAATACATTGATGCAGGTTGCGGTAGTGGATGATGTAACACTGCTTATCGTACAATGTTGCTAGAAGTTTATATTCGTGCCGGATGGCTTATCGCGCCTCGGACAGAACGGTAGGTCAGTGTGTCAGTTGTGTAGATGCTGCGGATACTCGAGATCGACCTCGAAAATATAACCACTGGATGAATCCGGAGCGATCACACTCACTTCAAAGTTCGCAGCGTCTTCGATCCATCGAAATTCGGCGTATGGCAAAGGTTGACACATTACCCGTACAGATTATTCACATCGTAATTCATAAGGTACGACGACGATGGGTCGAACGAACACATATACTTGTTATTAGCTTGCGCGTATCTGCCGGAGCATTGACTAAGGCCGCCGCGAATACCGCGCTCGATGAACATGACCATATCAATGTCGATGAGCAACTCAAATTTTACGCGGGTATGTTTCAGCATGGCGTTTCACATGAAACCTAACAGTGTATAATAATGTGCGGGATCAAGACCGTAACTCGCGACGCAATTTTCACAAAAATTTTCAAAAATGTCGATGTAACGTCCGGATATCAAAAACTGACAAAAACTAACTGGCCGTCACTTTAGAACACTATAGCCAGGAATGGCTTATATATCACGGATCACGCGGCAACCACGTGAACTGTTATTATTGCTCTTGCTATTATAAACTTTTAAATAAGTTGTTTATAGAAAAGATACAACATTTATATAAAAAAAAATACATAAAGGAGGACCTCCCCTCTTTAACCCCCTCTTTAATCAAATCATAGAAATTAAGGACAACCGTCTATAAGGAGAGTCATGTAATAGCACCATAAAATACTCCATAAAATACCCGCAGAATTTCTACAAACTCCACTTCCAGAATCTCCACTGATCGTTGAGACTGAACTAAAATACAAAAACAGCTAGCGACGTCTCACATTAATTATAATCGCCAATTACCGGAATCGAACACGGAATACTGAAAGTCTCACGAATAATTCAACTTATCGAGTAGATACAGGAAACGCGTAAAAATAACAAACTTTGCAGCAGACAGTTGCAGATGCATTTCAATCGTTATAAGGACATCAAATGACGAAGTCAAACACAAAGATTCACCTTGTATCCATAGAATAGCGATACTTGATATTTAGCGAATAATAGGCAAATGAAAATCTGTAGAATATTCTAGAATCGTACTCGAAATTATCCCTCTCACCGCAAGACGTCATTTCCTTGGAGTATATAAACCGATGCTGCGAGGATCTTAGTCTCTCATTTCGCTTATTCTTATTTGACCTTGCTCATTCTATTTACCAGGCGTAGTTCATTTTCCCGGTA